TAAATGCAATAATAATAGGTTTAAGCTTAGCCTTAACATTGAGCCTACTTGTAATGCCCTCACTGATATTACCATCTAGCCTTCCACACAATTACGAATTCAAAATAATTAACTTTAAAAACCATGGGATCCTAATACAAAACTTTGAAAATCTCTTTATAGAAACCATTTATAATATAATAAGTTATAAAACACTACACAGTAGAAGTATCAAGCATAAGCACATTAAAAAGCAATTCAAAACCTGATTATTCACACAAAAAGTAGGTCATGCACCGTAGCTCGTATCACAAAAACCTCAGCGTCACTCTCTGTGCCATGCACTATGGCATGTTGCCTTTCGTTATCACATGCGTTGTGGTGCACGTATCAAAATCTACTGTCAAATTTCAAATTCTAATATGAAATTCAGAAGTGCGCTGTTTTCGCATCCGATGTCCAATTGGTATAATTCAAGCACCCACATGAAGTTTGTTTCAAAATCTAACCAATGTCACTAGTTTTGTTTAAATTCAATATCCCGTTTGAAATTTGGACACCCAAGTGCTTTTTGATCATTTTAAGTCAAAATTTGTCACTTGAATATCACCAATCAAAACCATAAGTCATTAGCTACTTTTTGAGCCTTGACCATGTCTAATTGGATAATATACACCTGAATGACCAGTTATATAAACAATATAACACACACACACACAAAAAATTGGCCTATAAACTGCCCATAATACACTTTTTGGACAAAAATCACATTTCCTTGATTCAATTCATTCACATGGCCAATTCCACGCATTTGTCATCCATCCACTAGCTCATACTATCCTTTCATCATATACATACATATACATAGTTCAATGGGCTAGAATTCTAAAATCACACATACATTCACAATCAAGAGTTTATGCACAGGTTTGAATTCCTAGGGCAACTTATATACATAACCACTACTTATATACAAATTTATTACACTAATTCTAACAAGGCTTAATTGAGAAATCTCTATTCTCGACCTAGTTCCTTTCCTTTCGCAACACTACCATCAAAACCTAAAAAATAAAAAGAACCACAGGTAAGATAAAAATCTCAATAACCAATATAGTTCATTTAATGTCTATTATCACAAATAACTATGCCAAAGTAACAAAACTAGAGTAATAGCAATTATATATCAAAGTATGTAGGAATTTCCTCTTTTTAAAGCATTTCCACATAAATACACACTAGCATGATCATCTAGTCATCGAACCTCCAATGCTTCCCGATACAAAACCATAGGTTCTACTGGATTAATCACTTATTAACCCAAGCACACTTTTGATGGTAGAAACACCCAGCTAAAGGTAATTTATCCTACTCACAGACTATAGTTTCCCTCATCACACACTTGTGATAGAGTTACCAGATTGCCTGAATGTCTTATAGTAATAGTCCTAATATAATGCTGTACCGAATTACCTGTGGTACTAGCCCATATAATGCTGCACTGGATGTCCCATAGTGCTAGCTCGACCATATAGATTTTTCACTCATATCTTCACACACACACACACACATTTCCATATATCCTGGGTGAACTCCCATTCCTTATGATTATGCTTTATACACAATTAATTTCAATTCTATACTTTCGTACCACATACATACATACATACATTAAATAAGGTCATAAATCATTAAACTTTCCTTTCACAAATCTAATTTCATGCTAAAATCATTCACAATGCAAAACCATGCACAAAAACTAACAAAACCACAATTTTACAATTATACCATTACTTCTACACAGTTATAATTGTTAATAAACATAATAAACTATATGGTTATCTCAACCCTTCTATTTAATAAAGAGGATTACCTGTGTTTCACAACCCTATTTGAGCTTCTTTAGCTATTCAACACAATTTAGGCACTCAGAGTCGATGACTCTATTGATTGAAAGTGTCAATTATAGCAATTTAACACCTAATTACTACCATTTCTCTTATTCACACTCACTCACACGCATTATGACTAATCATCACTTACTACAAACATTAACTTCCTCACAACTAAATTCTCTCTCACTACTCTCTCTCTAGGTTAGGTCAAATTGTGCCTATAGCTTTAAAACTTTATTGTTCCGACTCAAACCAATCACAAAGTACTAATTTAATCCAAAAGTACCTTTCTATTACTATAAGGTAAGAAATTATCTCCTTAAAACTTTCAAATTTAATTTTTTAATAGTTTAAACTAGGAGAAAATAGGATAGAATTGGAGGTTAAGGCATGAGACTTACCCGATAAGTAACAGGTTGGAAACATCGTCCTTTCTTCCAAAAACCAAAGCCCTAGCAGAGCTCATCTCTCTTCTCCACACCAAACCTTCCTTTTCTCCTTTTCTCTTCTGTTTCAATGAGATATACATAAAGTCACTTATCGAAGTTCTGCATCAAGCACCATGGCGAATTCATCCTCCGCCACGGTGCATGGCACAGTGATTATAATATTCACTATGCTCACACGCTCTACTTCAGAACTTCTTCTTCTTCTCATATCTCCTCATATAACATCCTAATGAGTTAATACAACATCCCACTATCCAGAATACTAATATCACATTAAATCACTAATTCATTCCGTAATTATTATTAATGCAGGATTAAAAATTTGGGATGTTACACTACTTAATAACAATGGGTTAGTTTCACAGTGTCAAAAATATAACATTAGAGAAGCTAATAGAAGTTAAAAATGAAGTGGTTTATAGCTAATGGCATTAATGGTAGTCTTAGGCCCTAATTGTATTTAAGGACTAATTAATGATAGTTAGTCATTAATGATGTTTAATGACATTGATTGTACATTGAATGCTTCTTGGATGATTTGTGTGTTTTGAAGGCTCCCTTGCAAATTCAAAGTTACTCTCGGTTTGGCTTAGCATAGAGAAAGATTTCTCTATATGGACTGTGAAGTGTTTACTGTCAATAAGTGCAGGATTTTAATGATTTGTGTTCATTCCTTTGTTCAAATGTTTTCAACTATGTATTTTCAAGTAGAATCTAATTTCTGTTTTTACGTTCAATATCTCTTGGAAACTTAAGATAATTCTTCTATTAAGTATTTTTTTAAAACTCTTTACAACTTAATTATTTAGAGTTTATTTAAAGTAATTTTAATAAACTTTTAGCTGCAGCTTCAATTAAACCAAGTTTTGTAAAAGATTTGGTTTAAGTCGAAAATTTTCTAAATACCCAATTCTTCGTCCTCGAGTGTAGTTGCCTAATCTAATAGTTATTTCAATGATGCCTACTTGTTAATTTAATAAGAAAACTTGTTAATAATATATTTTACATATTTAATTTTATTGAGTTATTACAACATCAGGTACGCTTGAAATAATACTTTGACTTGTTATTTTACTAATAATTTAACCCCCTATCACTTTTGAGCATTTATCCTACAAGTTGTCAAAGCTCTGACAGTTCGTGGAAGGCTTCAGCAACTATGGATAAGAGGATTTATTTTTTTAATAATTAAAGGGAATTTTGATAATTTTCTTTTAAAACTTAATTCAGCGCCGGTTTGGAAATGGTTCCAATCCATTATAAGAGCCAAAACCAACGTTTTAGTAACAACTATCCAAGCACCCACATTTTCTCATAATTGATTATTTGTACCAAAACCATGTTTTATCATAAGCTAGGGAGAGTAGTTTATCGGATTCAATTTTACAATCACTCCATTTACTGCTTGCTAGAAATTTTACCTGACAAACATGCCCTCCAGTCGAGCGAGTTTCATCAATCCTTTCATTGGCTTCTAGTTGCAGTTTTCAGTTGGTTTTCTGAGAAAATTAAACCATATTACTGAATTTAGGATTGGGAGAATTATAATGATAGTAATTCCAATAATATTTTTCTTTTTCAAGGAATTGCATAGTTTTTTTGTTTTAAATTGAAATGTTAACTTATTCATTAGCTTAATTTTTATCTTATATTTTTAAGATCCTGACTCCTTTTTATTTTCACATGTTATTTTTATTTTATGTTTTACGCTGAAATTTTATTTTATTTTTTAAATAGAGTTCAAAAAATTTAATAATATTATATATAATTTTTGGTAATATTTACATTTTAAAAATGTAATATCTTTTATAGTAATGTGTACATTTAAAATTGATTTTAATTACATTATAACATATTCATGTTTGAATGTTATTCTTTAGAATTGATTACGTTATAATGTAATTAATTATAATTAAAATTAATTATATAATTAATTTTTATTTAATTAATTATATCTAGCTGAAATCCAAATAAGCCCTTAATCCTTGGTCATGTAATATGATTTCTTGAGAAAATTTCAGGTGGTGACCCTAGAATTTATGAAATTTCCTTGAAGGACCTGTATGAAATTACTTTAAAATTTGTGATAGAATTAAAAAGTTACCCTCATTTAAATAAATAACATAAATAACTTACTCGTTTTCATACTATATGTTATTCATTTATTTACGAAATATTATTAATTATCTAACGTCACTTGTTTATAATCCTTCTTTTACTTGATTTTATTTTAAATGTTGGTTTCATGATAAGATAACTTGTTCGTTTTTATATTATATGTTGTTTATTTATTTACAGAATGTTGTTTATTCCCCTACTTCACTTGTTTATGGCTCTTGGAATAAAATTAAGTGAAAGTAAAATTAAAAATAAGTAAAGTAGGAAAACGAATAATATTTCATAAATGAATAACATACAGTATGTAAATAAATAAGTTATTTATGTTGTTTATTTAAATGAGGTAATTTTATCATTTGTCACAAATTTAAAGGAAATTCCATGTCGGTCTTTCAGTAAAATTTTAAAAATTCTGAGGTTCTCGTTTATTATGTTGGGCCAAGGTCCTCACTTGAAAATTTTCCTAATTTCATTTGATACTACTTTGAAATAAATGTTCTAGTGTGTCCTCTAATAAAATACTCCCAAGTTTGTTTTGTTCTTTTTTGAAGACTGGCCTGTCGGCAAGAAGCAACGGACCTAAAGTCTAAAGCAGCCCACAGAAAATGGCGCATGCCAATGCCATAACCAATCGCCATCTTCGGAATCTCTCATCTCCCCTAGCCGGCAGCTTAGGCTACTTTGATGTACTGTAAGCTAATTGCATTTTGTGTCGATTCTTGTATGGGTTCATTCTTACCTTTCCTCCATTTTCCAAGCAAGTCTCATTCCCAGCTTTGCTTTACTCCTTCCCCTTTTTCTTTGATTAAGATTTCGTTGGGCATTAACGACGCCGAATCCATAGAACTATGATGCTCATGGTTGCATTGGCATTGGTTCTCGGTTTTTTGCTGAGTGTTTTTGTTTTCACTCCGCGAGACCGCAAATCTAGTTCGTACTTTTTACTTTTACTCCTTCGTAATTTTCGATCAATTCTGTGCATACTTGGTGATTTATGAAGCGTATCTAAATCACTTTCTGGCTTATTTTTCCTTCCTCAGGTTGTCTGGGAAAAGACAAGTCCAACTTAAAGGATAACAAGGTAATGTTGTAGGAAACAATGAGTTTAGTACTTTCTCTTCCGTTTCTCTGGGAGCAAGTTCTACAGTATTGAACTCTTAGGTTTATTCATTTTGGTTCCTGTTTTGCCACTAAATGATAATAACTGAACAAGATTGTAAGCCTCCGGATTTGTTTAAATATGATTTAGATCCAGGTGAAAACCATTTGAATAGTTTACTGTCTTGGTACTATTTTGTAACCATTTATTGGGCTTTCTGGATTCATTGTCATTCTATGTTAGTCCATACTTGAAAAGATACAAACTCACATACATGATGTGGCTTGATAAGCTGAGGCTTCTGATTTAGTTGAATTGGGCGCATCTTTGGCTTCCTAGTGGTTGCTAGTTGATATATGTATTTTGAATGGTTGCCTAAATGACAGGTTATGAAAGTAGTGCTCCTTGAAATCCTTTGAATGAGGCTTTCATTTTGCTGAGAAAACATCAGAACTTTACTGTTTAGTATTTCGGCATGGAAATTGATGGAAGAAGTTAAGAAGTTGGATTATTATAACATTTTGGATGCTTTTGTGGCTGTTGGAAAGGTTTCTTGTCTAGTCCAACCATCGTTTTTGCACCTTGAAATTACTTGAATGGAAAGATAAAATCTGGTTGATTTTGGATGAGAAATTATTCCATTTTTTCTTTTATTGTAAAGATTTGAAGTTAGTTTGGCAAGATGGAAATATTCAAATCATATACTTCTTTTTACTTAATTATGTGTAGATAGGGTTTAAAGTTTTTGGCTATAACCATTGAAGTAATTTGAGTGCTGCAAGGCACAAAATAATTTCTATGGACTTCAAATGTAAGTTTGAATGTTGTTTAAACATGCTAAATTGATGTTAGATTTTTTATTTTTTATTTTCGGTTGTCCTGCATTCTCACTTGTACATTAGGCATCAAAAACCTACAGCAAAGCAGAAGTCTCATTGCATAACAAGAGAACAGACTGCTGGATAATCATCAAGAACAAGGTATGGCCTTATATCGCAGTTTAGGCACCTTTACAAACTTGAAACACAGCAAGAAGCTCTAATCCAAACGCTTGTGGTACATACATTGTTTTTGGTCAAAGCCCAAAAGCATCTCCAAATTAATTCTTCCATTTGCCAGTCAATCAATTATGAGACTACATTCTATGCTTTTAGAATAATTTTGCATTTGCCTTTCCGTAACTGATTCATAATTTAAATTTATTTGTGCTTCATTTTCTGTAGGTTTATGATGTGACCTCATATGTAGAGGAACATCCAGGCGGTGATGCCATTCTAACACATGCCGGAGATGATTCAACTGAAGGTTTTTATGGGTATGTATATTTTTGCTTTCCATGTGAGATTCCTCTTTTTTCTTTTCTACCTAGTTGGATAAGACGTATATTTTTGCTTTAGGATATTCCTCTTTACCTCATGGATGGAAAGAAACCACCATGCTTTTATCATTTCCCCTGTATCCATACTTCTTAAGTTAATATTTTAAATATATTCTTTCAATAAACTATTCTCGGTTACTTTCTGGTATATAACTGAAAATAAATAAATAAACTGAAGCTTGCTGTTGTATAGGGTTAGCTGCTTATGTTAACCCAAAAAAGTTTGTCTACAACTTTTATAGTTGTGTGTGTATATTTTCCACCTTAGCTTCTCATATTGCCCTCTCCTAAGGACGTAGAAACATTGCCACGGCCAACTTTCAGATGTACTTGCTACTAGTTGTGCTTTTAGTGAATGATGTAGGTGGTTAGCAGGAGGTCGCAGGTTCAAAGATTCGCTTTGTCATATAGCCAAAACAAAAAAACAAAAAACAAAAAATAAATGCATAGTATCTTACTACAATTCTGAAGTAAGGTTCCTTTTTCAAGCCAGAATAATTCCTTACATGATGTCTACGATGCAACTGTAATCTCATCCTGTTCTTCTCATTCACATGCTCTCCCATCCAGGCTCATAGATTGGGCTTATGTTATTTCATGGTAAGTGTGCCTACACCATAAAATCTAGGGATTACCTAAGAAGCATATAAAAGATGGTATGTTGTTCAAATTAGAGGAAGAGTCATACCAAAGAAACAGGAAGTGTCAGACTCTCTTTAAATTTAACTAGTGAAGATCAAAAGATTAACATAGAGATCATGGGCAGCTTTAAGAAGCCAAATTGCATATTCATTGGCTTCCCTCGTGGGACCCTGATTTCATCAAGATTGCTCCCCGTGTGGTGTAAGGTATTGCTTCTAATTTTGATTACTTCTGTAGAATCATTTGCGACCACCATTTGTCGAAATCTTTCTTCCCAACACATTTTAGAACCTTCAAGAACGTGACTTAATTCAAATTAGAACATTGTCTATTGAGACTGCTGCGTTTCCTTTGAGAACATGTCTATTTCCTAATAAACATGATCCACTGCCTGATTGTCACTGTATTTCTGCTCTCGTTTCTTATCTGTATATTGTAAGCTCACTATTCTTATTTTATTGCTCCCTCCTCTCCCTATTGTATGACTTTTTACTTTTACGTGGCAGGCCGCAACATGCAACTCGAGTATTTGATATGATTGAAGACTTCTACATTGGAGATTTGGAGCATTAGCTAGATCAGTGGTTTGCGACACGCATGACTTGAGAATCTTAATCTTCTAATAACATTTCTTGTCTATTGATTGAGCTTTCTTAGATACTACTTGAGGAGTGCTTTGCCCATTGGGAGTGTTTAACCACACCGTGATTAATACGTCTTCATCTGCATGGATAGGATAGTTTGTTTCCCTGTGATAATCACAAGCCACCTGCTATTGTCTCCATAGGATTTGGATTCCATGCCCTTGACAACTACAAGTATTGGGTGCCTATTTCCACGTGGCAAAATTTATATTGTCCATTAAATCAATGGTTTGGAGAATCTTGTTACAACTAAAAAACAAAAAAAAAAAAAACACACACACACACACACACTTAATCAAAATCCATCCAGATCTCATAAATAGCACCACACAGTGAATGTCTATCCTATTTTCTGCATAAAATTTAGAACTTCTTTAAACAATCCGAAATTTCCATGCCTTCTTTTTTTTTTAACTTTATCAAATTCCTTGTCTATTGTTAGTATAAAATCTTTCCCCATTTTTTATGACATTGAGCAACGTATAAAAGAAAAAACAACAATAATGTAATAATATAAATCCATCCATAAATAATATATAATATTAGCTCATACTCTCTTTATTAAAAAATGTAAGACAATTTTTTAGGAGTTGGATGTTTAAAAATGTAGCAAATTTTTAATTTTTTGAGGTGTAATCATTATTTTTTTTAAAAGTGCTCCTGTTGATAATGATTTTATATTTATTGTAGAGTGTTTAATAAAATAAATGTGAAAAAATAGGGTTAGTTGAAAAGTAAGTAATTATTTTATTGGGGGATAAAATTTGGTTAAAAATATCTTACATTTTTTAACGGAGGGAATATATCATAAAAAAATTATAATAGGAGATAGATGTAAAATAATATCATGTCAGTAATATAGGCATGTATTGTTTTAAAAATTTCTAAATTTTAGGTGAGAAATGAGGTGGACATTCGGTTACGCTATTTAAGAGATTTAGATTCAGTGTTTCATGATTTTAGTTGTAACAAGACTTGCCAGATCATTGATTTAGTGAACAGCATTAATTTTGCCACATAACTATAGGCATCCAATATTTGTAGTTGTTATAGGCATGGGACCTAAATCTATTTCAACATGCTACATATTAGATAAGGAAACGTTTACATTTTTAAAAAGAATGAAACGTGGTTCCAAAAGGTCAATATTTCTTTGTAATAGACAAATTTTTACATGGATCTAGTATATCATGTTATCTTTGTCAATAAAAATATATCATGTGCTAGTTTAATTAAATAATATCTTATGTGTCATTTTTAAAGACTTTATTTTTAGAATAGAATGTCTCTTTAATCTCTCATCATTTTTCTCTTTATCATCATTAATGGCAAAAGTCAATTTATATTTATAGTTATTTGTATGAAATGTTTTTATTGGATAGAGCATAAATGAGGTGATGCATTGGGTTTATATAACAATTTTTTCAATTTAAGAAATTGTGAGAGATAATATTCAACGATTCTAGAATAAAAACTGTTGAATATTTTCCTATTATTCTACAGTTATTCATTAATAACCGTTGAATCTATGTACTTATTCAGCGGTTGTATGATGAAACTGCTAAATAGTTTTATGATCATATTCAACGGTTTTCTCTCATAACTATTGAATATTATAACTTAATTTTTTTTCATTATCCACCCTATATTTCTAGCAAGCCTCCTACATTGTAAATTACAAAATGATATTCTAGTACCCAAACACAAATTCTAGCCAACAATAGTTACGTATATACATATAAATGTATAATGAATTTCTATAAAAAACTTATATACAACTTGAATTGCCTAAATTAAAGCAATTAGTGGTTAAAACATAATGGTCCAAATTATAAAATTTGCTAACTGTTACTATTACTAGTTATTGAAAGTAAACCATGCTTCAAAAATATATGTGCTAATTCTTCAAAGACTTCTTCCATTTGAGCATAAGTATACGTGTCACAATATGTGTCCTCGTAGTATTATATGCAACAACAACAACAACAAAAAATTAAAATCATGTTTGTTGATAAAAACTAATAAAATAGAATAGGAAGACAATTACATCATTTGAAAGAATTTTGGTTGGAGCATGTTAGATTATGTCCTTCATGAATTTCATAACAGCATACCCACAATCCCTGACTTTGTCTGTTTTCTCTCGGCACTACAATCATACAATAGGTAAAATAACTAAATAGTTAATTAATACATGACCTATACAGTGACGTTTCTAACATAATTAATGATAAATACATATACCTTGACAACTGTCTATGATGCTGTTGTATCAAATCGACCGCTGCCCTTTACTAGTTGTCAAAATTGTTGATCAACATCAACGTGGTACATGACAATAGCCCTAACGTGAAATAGAAAATTTGACATGAGAAATATTCATACAAAAAGAACAAATTACATATATGCAAACAAATTAATCAACTTACTGATTAATCATTTCCACAATATATGGTCTGTTAGGGATGGCCACTACGAATAAGGTCAAGGTACCACACCCTCCCTAAAGTTGGATTGATCACAAGCAACATCCAGTGTCCCCTATGATAAAAATTACAACTAGAAAGTATCATATAAATAATGAAATTTTGAATAAATTAAAGTAAAGCATCATAAAGTAACTTACCCTTCACAATAAGGTGCTATGAATATTGTGTTCTTATCAGCACCACGTTGCTAGAGGTACTTTGAAAGCTTCTGAGATATTTTCAGCTCTTGCTTAGGGCTCATTATGTCATGGCCATAAGGAGAGACCATATGAGGACTAACAAATATAATCCTCCATGCTATATCTCTTCTAGCAAAATGTAGAGGTTCCTTAAATGTCAAAATAAGTAGAACAATATATGATTAAAGAGAGTGTGTGTGTGTGTATATATAGCTAAATGTCTAATAAAAGGTTTTAGAAACATACCTCATATATAAGTTACATAGAGTAGTAGTAGCCTCTGCATGGTTGAATAAATCATCCAACATCTCATTGTTGACTTGGTCAAAAGACTGTGGATCAGCATACATGTCTGCAGGTAAAGGGAGCAGCACTCCTTCTTACATCTCGACATAGGTCTTAAGCAATTGCCTATTTTGTTGGGTGCGACTTGACTTTTAGAGGCTTGAGGCTGAGGGGCTTTAGGTAGATTGGCTTGAGGGAGAACTAATGTCTTCTGGGGAAATGTGATGGATTCCTTTAATTTGTCAGAGCTCTTCTTATCCTTTCCCCTCTTTCACTTAGTAGTGAATGCTTTCATAGCCTCTGGTGCTTTCTTTGCTATTGACTTATCAACAGGCTAATTTTTCCAACATATAAGATTGTTAGATATCAACTATAAAAAAAATGCAAAAGAAGTTAATTTTCAATTATGAATTCAATAAATATACCTTTGGAGATGGTGCCGACATACTAAGAAGACAAACCGGCCATGCAACAAAGCTGAGCAATGCATCTACTACTGTCCTTGCATCCGGAGTGGGGTAGGATAGATCATAATTAAGGTCCTCAACTTTCTTCAAAGAGACTTTCACTGTCCCTTCAGGGATGTGTTTATTATAAAGCATCACTTACCCATCAATGTTGTATGTGCACCCCAATGCAACCACATGGCCATCTTCTTCCAAACAATCAACGTCAGCCTCACCCTACACAAATTAAAAAAAAGAAAAAAATTATGTAACATGAACAATAAAAGTAGTATTATGTGTAAGATTATAGTAAAATGAATAATAATACCTCAGGTAGGAGCTGAGATGGGACTGTGCAATTATCATTCACATTAAGGCTACTATCGCCCAGTAGAAGCCCTAACTTATGTTGGATCAACAGCATGTCGATGAGTCTAGATTGTTCTTGTATCTGCTGTGCTTGTACTAGTATTTGTTGCTTCTGTTCCACTAGCTCTTGCCTCAACTCTTGAACCTCAGCAGAAGAAGCAGCCTTTTTATTGCACTTGAATGCATTGCCAAAGTAATCTTTTCTTGTGACTTTAAAGCCAACGCCCCAAACACGACCAAGATGGTCAGTATTCCCCAACACCTTCTCCAATATATCCTCATCAATAGTTTGAGTGCCTGCTAATGCCTTCTGAGTCAAAGTCCCCTGTGAAGCAGAAAAAAGTAAAGTGAATAAGTAAAAACTAATAACATTATATCAATATATCATTAATACTTACTATTGTTTTAACAACCGCTTTTGTTTTTAGGTTGTCAATATTGCTTGCTTTATTTTTTTGAGCCTTGGTCCAAATCCTGCCACAGGATATAGAACCCTCCAATGCTTGCTCTTTCTCAATCAAGCCTTTTTCAATTCCTGCATATCCCTTGCATCTAGCCTTATATGTATACTCATTCTTCTTTGCCAACTCTTTATTTTATGCACTTAATGCCTTTGAAAAAACACAAAACATGACAAGTCAATTAATATAAAAAGGAGGTGACAATAAAAGTAACAATACATAAATAAAATAACATTAATATTACCTTGAACTCTAGACTGCGGAGTGAGTTAACAAAAGCTTTCCATTCATCCTCACTTACAATTGTCGAAATGAAGGAAGGAATTATATCTTCGATACCCCCTATGTTAGGGTTCGCCAAAAATTTGTGGGTAACAAAACTTCTAAAAGATTTTAAGGCTATCCCAGCTTTCTGTAGAATAAACTTCTTGCGCCTTTCCTCGATCTCAAATCCTGACTACAAGATGAACATGTCAATTTAAACAAACGATTGCAAAATATTAAGTTTCTTTAAAAAAGAAAAGTGATAGTATCTTACTGTTAAAGTTCTCCATACTGCATCTTTCATTGCTAGAGTTGCACTCTTCCAAGATTTTAAAGTAATAGGCACTGAGGACTTCGCTGCCACGCCAATATAATTGATGCAGTCATGACTGTCAACTACTTAATTCTTATTGTTCCACTTGACAGTAAATTTTCTTCCTTCATTTCTTGCTTTAGTGAGTTCCTTTATCACAACTAACCCTCTCCTCAATTGTTCTTCCTACCTATTAAGGTCAGCCTTCTTCTTAGCTGGGTCATCATGCTGCTTATTCAGACTATTGGATCTAGAGCCAGTGTCAAGATGATCATGCTCAATAGCCATTTACTTGTGAAAGTAATAATAATCAAGATTAAATAAATAAAAAAGAGTAAGTTAAAAAAATAATAATAACAACATGTGCACTTTCTTTGATAAGTCAACAATAACATAACTACCTATTTATGTTATTCTTCTTTTTCTTTTTCT